TCCTCAGAGAAACGACACTTCTCGCCCCGTTCCCTTTCGTGTCATACATTGTGGCAATGACTAGTTTTTCTGATCCCCGCCGAGAGCAGTGGATGAGTGAGCAGGTCGTCTATCAAAACAGCCGGTTTCCTGCGCAAATTTTTTAAAGCTTTCGTGGCGTTTGGGTCCGAGAAACTTTTTGATAAAGTCAACGTGGGACATAGACTTTCTGAGCCTACGCGTGTGTTGTGCGTGGTGGCCACGTTGGATGATGTGGATTGAAGTAGTTTCTTTCCCGCAAGAGCACTCCATAGGAGCGTATGGGTTGTCGAAACGACGATGGTAGGCCGCAAAATTGCCGTGACCCGTTCGTGCTGCAATCAGTTCGCGGAGGAGGTGCCTAGAGAGAGACAGTTCGGGTGGTTTACGGCGCCGCACAAGTTAATGAAGCTGGCGGTATTTATGCGGACAAGCCTTTACCCACCAGTCTTGTAGCAAGATTTGTCGTCGGTAATTCATGAGACCACAAAGATATGCCAGAGTACATGATCCTGGTGGTGTGTCCTAGCTAGGTAGCTCTCGAAGGGCGGCACGGGCAATAGTTGACCACATTTCTCGCAGTGTGTGTGTTTAATGTACTACTTGGGTCTATAACTATCTAGCACATTGGGCTCCTCTCTGACCCAGGCCACACCTTGTACAGTGCCCCTTGCCTCTCATGTTTCTTGAAAGATCACTGATATATTGCCCGTAATGAATAGCCATTCAGCTCAGTGTTTACCCGTGGAATTCAGCCACCTATTCCATGGAAACTTCTATTCAATAAAAAATGGTAGCAATGGAAACTGCGTGCGCAGGAAAAGGTCTCAAGAAACCTGCAGCCCCAGCCAGGTGAGGCCTAGATCCCAGGATCATATGAGGTGCGCATATTCATCTATATCCCCCTTCCTTGTAACAGTTGAGGTCGACTTGATCCAATCTACCATCTCCGTATCGGGTGCTGGGTACGCTCCGGAAACTCATCGGATGGCATCACCTCCATGATCAAGGGTTGGTGATGAGTAGGGCTCCGGCCCTACCATCTAATCTAATGGTGGTTAGCTTCATGGTAATGGTGATAGGGAATGTGTTGAGAGATGAAGACGATACAGACCGCAAAAGCGATTGGGAATCCTCGTCGAAGTGAGGACTTTGTTACTCAATCTCGGCTCTGCAGACTCTACAGTGAGAGCCGGAGGTTCGTAGGGGACACCACTGATAGGTTTTGAGAATAGTCCCCCAAATGAATGAATAGCTTGGTTGTGATCGGAATGCTTGTCATGGTGGTAGATAGTACTTGTACTTATTGGTACCCACTATACAGTGCCTCTAGGATTCGAAACGTTAAGCTTGAAACTGGGTCGTTTAAGGGATTAGCCCTGTATGCGCAGTTGGGCCAGCTCGTAATAGTTTAGACTGTCTCTCCTCATCGCCCTGCTCGCCATGAAGTGTGGTCCAATCGTCTTTTTCAAACGATCGCTCAGAAAGACACAATTTTAACGACACCTTTGACTGCCTAACCAACAAAGGCCCTGATTCCACCTGTGAAATTAGGATGGATTCCGGGCCACGAAGGGCTGGCAGGAAATGAAATCGCCGATGAACTTGCCCGAAGAGAGCTTAACTCGCCGGACAACTCTAGGACGACACATGATGTGATGACCCTCGCCTCTTCTTGACGGAAAGCCCGTGAACTGGCCAGGCAGATGTTGACAGACTGGTGGCACTCGAATCGCCCCAAACATTACGCTGACCTTGAACTCGAGATGCGTCGCAAGAAACCGCCAGAACTAGCGCTACCGAGAGCGGTCTACGCCCGCTTAATCGCCGCTCGAAGTGAGTATAGGGACTTTGCGGCATATCATCACCGCTTCAACCACACTGACGCTACACTCAACTGCGAGTGCGGGAGGTAAAAATCAATTGGTCACCTTGTCCAGTGTCGAAAAGCACCGGCAACATGGCGGCTGAAAAGCGGAAAGCGAAGGGCGCCGGCTCTGGAAACAATGCTCGGATCAAGTGGATGGCAGCTGTTCAGGGACTACGCCTAGGAGAGCGGAATATACGCGGAGGCTAGTCGGGGGATGGCAGGTATACCTGTGACCCGGAGGTGATAGAACGGAAGCCTGGGTGGTTTGGCATGAAAAGAGGGATAGGAATCGAGGCTCAGGCGTGTGGTGGCTGAGGCAGATCGATGGAAGGGAGATTGGATCAATTTTTTCTATTGTAATGCGGGATTTCGCTTGAAAGTTTTTGTTTGTTTTCAATCTGGGCTGCTGAACTCGTTATGATTCAACACATAGATGCGTTTTGGTATGGTTCCGGTCATTTAGGTAGGACGAGGCACTTGTAGTTTACGGTAGTTGACCTAATCCGGCCCGACCCCACTCGTGCTCAAGCTCCAGTAGGAGTACGACGGTAGTTACTTCACCTAGCACATCAACGAACAAAGAAACTAGCAGCCCTTGAAACTTAACACCACTGTCACTTCATCCTCTATTCTAGCAAACAATGTCTCTCCAAAAGTCTGCTTCAAAAACCAAAGTTCGTAAGCATCTGACTCGCGATCAATATATTGAAAAAAGAACATTAAGAAGACTTGGCTTAACATTACAAAGTATATCTGACAAACTTGGCTTCACAGTAAGGCAAGTGCAATTTGCGTGTGCTCGAGAGACTGAGAGTCCTACACCTCGCAAAGGACGCTACCAAAGTTAAGCGCGGAACAAGTTGATGAGCTTGAGGCTTTCGTCCGGGAATCTCCTGAAAATCGATAGATGTGCTATTTGGAACTAGCCATGGGGCACTTCAGCCACTGGGGATGCAATGAGGGTTTAATTTCTAATGCCCTCAATAAAATAGGTTACAGCAGATGCATTGCTCGGAAGGAGCTTCCGATAAGTGTGGTTAACATGCACGAAAGATGTATAGCGGTGATAAAGGAAAATGGAGGGTTCACAAAGTATTAGGATGGAGCAGAATTATACAAAATATGTAGTGCGGTTTCATTTAACTTGAGAGCCATACTGAGGGCTTCGATGTAGACTTTTGTAATACAGTGCAATTGTTTTGAAATAGATGTGTACTTTTAGATACTATCAATTGGTTTTTTAATTTTTAATTTTAAATGACCATTGTACAATTCCTTTCGAGTTAAAAACTATCCCCATTAATTTTGACTTTCACGGAATATCATTGGATAGTACCCCTGCTAGCATAACTAGTCTAGTAACTAGACATGGGCCTGCATGAAGATCAAACCAATCAAATCAATATGTATTGGGATCTAACCCCAGTCATTTTGACAATTGTACAATTTCCACCCATAAGAGACCGTACACTGAGCGGTATCTGACCTCTTGCGGCTTGCGCTTATACTCCAGGGGCTTATGGTGTTGTCACTCTGATCGACTCCTTGTATAGTTTCTCCTGGGCACTCTCGCGCCCGAAGCTTGGTGGCGAACAGTAGCTGTGCATATTGGCAGCGCTAGACGTGGATTCGCACTTTTGGTGCCTTGCCCGTTATTTGCTGATACTATCTCAACAAAGACCAAGGGTATCCAGACTGATGTGAAAAGAATCTACAGCAACGAAGCCTCTAGCTTCAGCTGGCTTCTGAAAGTTTGTCCATATCAGCTCATATACTCGCAGGATACCTACATTTAAACGTGGGGAAAATTAAAAGTCTTAGAGAGAGAAAAAAGGCACATATAAAACTGAGAGGAGTACGGACTGAAATTGTTCTTCACAGGGAAGAGGTGTATGTGGTAGAATGAGAATGACATTGAGAAGGCTTTGCTTTAAGGAAGAATGACAGTATGGTACTGTTCGGATTAGGTACTGGCCAACGATGTCCAGCCTAATTGTGCTATGTTGCAGGCTACTGTTACAATTATTCAAGGGGTCATCATGAGGGTTGTGAATAGTTTCGGCTTGGTGTGGGTTATTAGGTTGATACCTGAGCGTGTCGCATAGTAGTCAGACATGCGACTCAGGTAGCATATGTACGGTAAACCTCAACCCAAAAATGATGATACAAATCAAGTTTTATATGCTGAGTCCTGTATGGCTGGCGTAGCTGGAATATGGGGAATTTACCTGTAGATAGATAAAGACGTTGTAGCCCTATGATAGTTGAGACAAGTTTACCAAATTATATCGGAATCAATCCTAGCCTCTAGTTAAGCAATCTCATGAATTATTTCCAATGTCTGTTATAACAGATGTACATGTACAAAGTTGACAACAAGTTTAAAGTCGATAAGGTACGCTTCATTTTATATATTTCCATAGTTACTCATCACATCTCTCATTCCTCTTCAGATCTGGAACCCTCACGCAATAGAGGGTCCGAGAACAACTGCATCATGTAAATAGCATGCGCACAAAGTTGATTTTGATAATAATAACCCCTGCGCTGAATTCCTGTGATTATTTCATTGGATTTAAGTCCAGCGAGACTCGGTTTCAACCCTAACGGTATTCGTGTAGATTACAATGGCATGCTAAAGTTATTAAATGTTTCAAATCTTTCTTTTGATGCGTGCTCAAAAACGAGAGTCAATTGGCTTATGTAACTGTGCGTACTTTGTGGCGGTATTATTAAATGATTAAAAAAATTTCATTACTTACTTTGAACACGAAAGCTACGACCGCTTCCATTGATGTGAGGAAGACTGCAAATGCTAAGAGCAGTTAACTCTCCTTCTGCAATCCTAAATTCTTCACTGTTCCCTGGTTATTGGAAGTTTCTCCTTAGACTGGGAAATTTCTTGAGGCTACTCAAAAGGAAAGCTTTGCCTCCAAAAACATTTAATGGCCCGTAAGAGGAACCTTATGCTCTAGTGTGCTAGGTCAACAATAGTATCATCACATAGATATTCATACTTTTGATAGTACTATGTACCATTGAGAGACCACCGTTCTAGTGTCAGATATTAAGTTTCACCATAAGATTATCAGTTCATTTTTCTGCATTAAATTTAATCGACCTCTCTCCCTTTTAGTCCACCATCAAGAATATATGATTCATTATCATCCTGATTATCTTGGACACGTCGCCAAGTGTTAGTCTGGTCTTTTTGCTGCTGTAATTCACCAACGTCGGTTTCTTTGACAGAGGGCGTCCAAACCGGTCTAATTAAACTACCTAACAGAGGATTGCGCCGAAAGATCTGGGTAGAGTGCCCTTGTTTTTGAGCCACCGGCTCCATTTCTTCTTCCTCCATATTCGAGTTTTTTGCGGGTGCAATCAAATCTGCTTGGGGTCTACGCTCAGTGCGTCCAATATTTTTGACTACTTTCCCGCCAACCACATTTAAGCTGACAACCATTCTTTTTCGCTCATATTCCGGACGGGCATTCCATTCTTGCTCTTGAAGTAATTTCTGCTGTTTTTTGAGTGCCCTGGCTCTCTCTACTGGAGTTGCCCAAATCATGTCTCTTTCTACAGCTGCTAGGTCTACATTTACCTCAGCTACTTCATCTCGCACCGTTGTCCGTTTCGCATTCTGAGCTTGGAAGCCGAGCAATTTATCTCGATGTGTTCGAGCTTCGAGCTCAGCTTGGGCTACCTGGGATCGGGGGAATGGCTTCGAATTTGATGCAGCCATAGCATGTTTTTGTCGCTGATCGTTTGCTAGCATCTTCTCACGCCCACAGTCTTCCCGTAACACTGATATCATTTTCTGTACTTCAACTGCAGACAGAAGTGGTTCGCCGCAGTAGGTACAAGGGCCAAATCCCTCTTTGACACAAATAACCTTGCCACACGATAGACAATTCGGTGCAGCAGTCAAAAGAGGATGCTGTGTAGCAATGCAGTTACAAGCACGTTTAGATGGATCCTGAGAAGAAAGACTACTGTTGGTGCTTATTTCTAGGCTGCGAATCGCCGCTTCAATCTCAGAAATAGTTGTTGAGGTCCCGTGCATTGACTGTCCCCCTGGAATTGCAATCTTGACTTTATTTGGAAATGCGGGTGATCCATTACGAGCGTTTTTTCCCTTTGACTGATTAAGACCCGGATATGAGTTGCTCGGATGAGCAATAGAGCCCGAAAAATCGGAGCTATGTTTTGATTTTACGAACTGTGTCTTTTTTGATGCTACAGCATAGTTATTTTGTGACATCATCGAAGTTGATGCGGCTGGTACACCCTTAGACATCGATTTATGTGAGGCAGTGTTTTTATTGGAAATTCCCATGGCATTAGTTGGTGCGCCATTATTCTGAAATTTCATTGAGGCTTCTCTCTGCAGCTCATAAGCCGATATGAAGTTTGTCATTTCTAGAGAGTTTCCAAGAAATTCGCGGAAATGATTCACTGCCTCATCCTTAGATAGAGTTGCTGCATAGTCTAGAATTTCTTGCGCGTGACTCTCTGGAATAGAGAGGAGTTTAGAAAGCTGTGCGGGATGCATTTGTAACTCCTTTGCTCTTTGTTATGCAGTTAGTTCTCCTGAGATGATATTATTATTATTATTATTTAACGTCGTGAATCCTGAGATGATAAGCAAGTTAAACAGATGCACAGCAGTAATATGTCACATGCTCTTCTATATAATTGCCTTAGGCCATAAAGCTTGTAAGGCAATTATTTATTTATTTTCAGAGTCTACGAGACTACATCACTTATGGAGGACGAAGGCTGAACACCTGTCAGTGGTGTCCTCTACTAACCTGAGAGTGAAATATTCTCCCAGAGCCGAGATTCAGTCACGAAAAAGGGTGGGATAATTTTTAATTGATGGATTTTCGACCTGAAGGAGTTGCACTCGATATTTTGGTCGAAAAACCAGTCGGCAGAGATTTCACAGCCGGAACAACGTCGAACAAAAAGTCATCACCACCAACATACGATTCACGAATGGGCCTAGGTCTATCTGGGGGTCGTATTCATACACCCGACATCTCTTAAACTCCTTTTATACTTGCGACGAAGCATGTCTCAATCGATCCTACACCTGCGACCTAGCTCCATACCCGTCCGATCACCTACCTACACACGATCTAATGAGGAAAGTCATGATGGAAACGGGACGTGCACAAAGGAGGAAGAAGAGGGAAGATACACCGAGGGGATTACACAAATCCCCAATGACGAAAACAACCCGACGGTAAGATATGAAGGTGCAAGGCTAGAGCAACGATGAGATCTTGGACGGCATTTATATTTCGGAGTCAATGAGGATGTCAAGGGCTCGGGCGCGTGGTGGCCGAGGCTGAGGAGGAAATTGCGCTACGGCGTGTATACAGCGGGTTTCTGGACGGTTAGGCTTGGTATGATTCAACACATAGATGAAGTCTGAGGTGGTCCGGTCATTAAAGTGGGACAAGGTTTATCTGTACTTCACGGTAGTTAACCTGATCCGGCCCAACCCCACACGTGCTTAAGCTCCAATAGGAGTGCAACGGTAGTCATGCAACCTAGCACGTTTCGCCGGATTGCAAAATTTCGGCAGCTGGCGGCTAGCTGGATAAACAGGACACGAGCATCCTGTACTAAAGCAGGAGCAGTCAGTGTTAGATGGTGCCCCGGACATTCTGGAATCCCTGGAAATGAAGCAGCAGATGCTCTAGCGAAGTCGGCTTGTCTAATGACTGCGCTACCCCTATCTCCATCCATAGCGAGAGCAAAAAGAGAAATTTCTCTGTTGTACAACGCTTCCACCACTGCTTACTGGGATCGGGAAGGCCCCACTAGATATAAAGAACTAGGGATTGGCCCTAGCCTAGGAATATCCCCAGAACTGAAAGGTCTAAGCCGGCGTGCACTTGGGGCGTTGATTGCAGCTCGCTCCGGACACGGAGATTTCGCACAGTATCATCGGCGTTTTACACACGAAGATGCCTTAATGACTTGCTCCTGTGGCGAAGAAAAAAGTACGGACCACTTCTTTCACTGCAGCATAGGAAGAAGCCGGGCTCGCCTTAGTGGTGGACCTCGGCACTCCAGCCCCGGTATTAAATGGGTCCTCAGCACGCCTAAAGGGGCACACGCCTTCGGAAAATGGGTGGAGCTGACAAAGTTCTACGACGAAGTCCAACGGGCACATTAGATATTTCCCTTGAGATTTTTGGTACTGCGTGAATAGTCTGCGGGAGTAATTTCAAACTACTTGTAAATAAAAAGTAAAATCCCGGGTAGAGGGAAATTTGCTACATTTAAATTGGAAAGCAGAGTAGCGGACAGCAGGTCGGACTCTTTTGTAGTTTCTAGGTGCTGTAGGGCGCGCTAGAGCGTCAGGTAGTTCTGTAGGGACTGGGCCGTCCAGCACGTGACTAAGGTCACGAGCTGTAGACAGGCACGATGTTAAATTTAATCAAATCAAATCAAATCCATCACATCTGAAAACTCACAATACATAGATCCCACATCATATTATCCACAACACTTCTTACAAGAACTTCCATCTGGTGCAATGGCCCCAGCCGTTGCATCGTCATCGACAACGCCCCCGAATCCAGGGGGGCAACTCCACCCAAGCCTGCTAGGCATTGTTAATGCAATGCAAAAAGCAGAACAAGAAAGAAAAGAAAGATTGGGCATAGCCCAGGAATTTCTTGAACTAATCGACTCCTGGGCCAAGAGCAAAGGAGAGAAGCAAGCAGCAGCAGTCGTCGCGACTCTGATGAACAAGATCACGCCTGTCATCACTGCCTTTGCAGTAGATCAGGCAGAAGTAATCAATAGTCCAAGTAAGAACTCCCCCGCCATGGCAAGCACTCCCAAACCAGCCGCGCCTAGGAACCACATTGTTGTTGAGAACAACAGCCACGGCCTACCTCCAAAGCCGCAAGAAAAAAGCTCGCCTTGGGTTACAGTTGCTCGCAAAGCAGCCAAGTTACCAACACCGCCCAGTGCGCAAGTTCCGAGAAGACCGGCTCCGACAAGCCGCCCTAAGGCACAGACAACACCCAAGGAAGACAAACGCCTGTTCCTTCGTTTGGGTAGAGATCACCACTGGCACAAATTATCACCAGTCACAATCAAAAAGATAATAACCGACAAGGCTGGGATAGCAGCCTCAGCTATCACCTCGATGTACCCAGTCAGGTCGGGGATCGCTCTCGAATGTGCGTCAGACGCATTGAGAGACACAATCATCAGAAGTGCACCTTCCCTACAGGAAGACAACACAGTGATTGAGGCAGCCTCAAAATGGACATCTCTGATGGTACCACATGTGCCATTGTATATCAGGACACTTGAAGGCAGCATTCCAGTCACCATTGAAATGGTGAAGAACGAGTGCCAGGCAGTATGTGGCGCCACACCAATCCAGGTACGGCCCACAGAAACAAAGCTTGGTCAGTACTCAACGAGCTGGATCATTCATTTCCAACAAAAACCAGCAAACACAAAGTTCCGTCTTTTTGACGAGAGCGGACCGGCAATTCCCTTCTCGCGCCGACGACCAATCGAGCAATGCCAACGTTGCTGGGGATTCCACACTACGCGTTCCTGTACCCGGAGCCAACGATGTGGACGATGTGGGGGAACCCATGAGACATCAGATTGCCAGGCCAAGGTGCCAAAGTGCTCAAATTGTGCCGGACCTCACCACTCACATGAGAGTAGCTGCATGGCCCGACCAAGAAGACAAAACGGGATAATTCTGCCCCGTACCCCTGCAGAACTACACATCATCAGAGAACGCGGGCATCGTGATTATCACGCTGCTCTAGCGTATTCGGAAAGGAAGGGCAAGGCAGTTGAAACTGTCATTACCCCGGATTCAACAATGACGTGTTAATGTTAGGGAACCCCTCAACAAAAGCACCAAAAGATAAACATAACACTCTCCACTTTCACCAAGTGAATGTAGGAAGGGGTGGGGAGAATACAGATATAGCATTGCAGCAGGCATGGGACGCCGGTGCACATGTAGTCATGGTACAGGAACCATGGACAAGGAAGAAAGAGGGGGGTTTTATCACCAAAAGTCACCCTGGATACAATAGCCACATACCGTTTGGAGGAACAGACGTCCGGCCCCGCGTGAGTACTTTCACACGCAAAGGCATTGGTGCGACTCAATTTTTTCCGCCGTCATCAGGCCCGACATCTGACTACTGTTTTGTAAAGATGGGCAGCCTGACTTTCGTCAACGTGTATCGTGCCCCGGGCACCAGTGGAACCTTGGAGCCCTTACTTCGGTGGGTAGTCAGAGGACTCGTGGTTGTTGGTGGCGATTTCAATTCTGTGTCACAGCATTGGCAGCCGCAAACGACAATTCAGTACGGCAATGGAGGCCAGATCATGGAATGGGCAACAGCTCACGATATGGATCTAGTTAGCATTGTCGGAGAGCCAACGCATAGGGATGGGAACGTGCTGGACTTAACGTGGAGCAACACAGCTGCAACAGCATCAGTCTCCAAGCAGTATCACTGTACCTCAGATCACTCGACCATCGAGGGTACAGTCTTAAACCCTACAGTATCAGACCTATCTGGAATTGTAAGGAACACTCGTGTCAGCGATGAGAACCTAAAGGAATTCAACCGATGTGTCAGCCAATGGACCAAAGCTGCCCCTCTGGACAGTGTCATGGACATCGAAAAATTCACAGCTAATCTCCTGCAGGCTCTTGCAGACGCGCTGAAGATTGCGGGGAAAGTCCCAGCCATTGAAAGCGGAAAAACCGGGCCCTGGTGGAACGATGAATGTCGCATCAAGTGGCAGGATTACAAGGCAGCGAGAGAAAATCCGGACCTTGTAAGACAGGCGCGTAAAAGCTTTAGAGCCGTTGTGCGAAAAGCCAAGCGAGAGTACTGGAAGAGGCAAGTGGAGGCAGTTACAACTGACGCACAGGTATTCAAGCTCATGAGATGGGCTAAGCCTCGACCAGCAGCTGAGCCCCCTCCTTTGCAGATTGAGGAAAATCGGTGGCTTTCGGACCCGCGAGAGCGGGCTAGTGCGCTACGAGACATTCTCTTGGCAAGATTTAGCAGCGAGAACGACATCCCAACCTGGGAGAATGGACAGGAGGTGCGCATTCCATGGGATACGGAAATATCACTGGAAGATGTGACAAACGCTACCATCTCTGTCAATGATACGGCACCGGGAGCGGACAAAATAACAGTACGTTTACTGAAATCCTGTTGGTACCACCTCGGGCCTCTGGTCAAGGATCTCTACCAGGCCTGTCTAAAAATCGGCCACTTTCCGACGGCATTTAGGGTGGCAGATGTTGTGCTTCTTCCCAAACCGGGACGAAATCTATCAACTGCCAAGGGCTGGCGACCAATCTCGCTGCTGTCGAGCTTAGGTAAAGGACTTGAGCGTCTAGTTGGCAAGAGAATGGCATGGCTGACGATAAGTCACCAAGTTGTTCATCCGCAATTATTCGGCTCAGTACCAGGACGATCTGCGGTCGACCTTGCATCCTGTGTAATCCATGATGCTGAGGCG